CCACTTGAAAACTTCTTTAGCTTCTTTCTCCTCTTTTGAAAGAGAGATATGCAACATGTTTAAGATTCTCTTAAGAAGGCTACTTAAAACTGAAAAAAACCTCAACACCCTCTAGTAAAGGAAAATCATTGATGTATTCTTTTTGTAAACACGGCTTAACACATTGGCCAAGCCAGACTGTTAACTATCCTATCATAGTAAATATAGAAAGAATTCAGACAACTCCAGCTGAAAGCATACAAGGAAAATAATCAAAGTCGTTATTAGACTTTGCTCGTAAGTAAATTCATCATAGGTTATGGAAAAAACTTACTGAACACTTTATCATGTAGAGTTCTCATCAATTTCTGTTCCTAGTTTTCTAAGGGGATTTCCACTTAACAAAATGAGTTTGTCCAAACACATCACTCTTACAGCTTGGGGACAGCAAAGAATGTAGAGAAAAAACAGACCAAGGTCACAGCAAAACAGTCCTCCCAGATTCCCGGAGTGGGAATGCATAGCCATGGTCTTTGCACCCCTTGCCTCCTACACCATCCGCTGCAGAGAGTGTAACAGATCACATTGTGTATCTTGTGACTGTAACACTTGTGAAAACTGTAACTGGAGTCCAGAAAAAGAAGTTGTGGACAGTGAGGGAATAAGCAACCGTGCTCACGCATACATGTTGTGGTAGAAAGTCTCAGGTCAGACTTCCTGTAGTTGTTAGAGTTCATACATATCTTGTCAGGGGCAGTAAACAAGCCCAAGCATAACCAAAACTCTACAACCACTTAGATCTGTTACTTCAAATATGGAAAGCCAAACTGTGCACACACTAATCCTTACTTTTAAGTATTTCTTAGTGGGGATTACTTCTCTTTTATTTTGTTAGGATGTATTGCACTCACATGCACACACACAGACATGCAGAGTTTATTCATCTAGCACTCGCTGTGACAATCACCTGCACAGTTGTGAAACCAGCACAAATTATAATTTGATACGGATGTTAGAAGAAAGTGTTTCGGCAGATGCAACACTACAGCACAAATCATTGAGAATTAGGAGGAAAAGAAATAAATGGGATTATAACACAGATTAAAACAGGCAAGACACTTATAATAAAAACAAACAATATTTCATAGGTGAAGAAAAATATTTTAATAATAATAAAGTTTAAAAATAATATTTAATAATAAATATTTTTTCAGTTTGTACTTTAAAGACAGGGGATGTTTATGAGAAAACAAACTAATGATTGCTTTTTTAGGAGATAAAAAAATAATTTTACAGTTTTTCACTTGTCAGCAAACTGTTTCATAAGATATCAGCTCATGTTAGAAGCAATCCTTTCACAGACATTCCTGAATAATAGTTGTGCCAATCAACATCATTTAGAGGAGTGGGCTCACTTTTTCAAGGTGTTTTTGAAATACTCCAGTATTCAGCTATCATGCTTCTACAGTGCAAGAGGTTCCCTGGGGTCCTACTATAAAACCTTTCTTCCTCCTCCCTTTTACACACACATGTATTTTGGTTTTAGGAACCAACTTTGAATCAGCAGCTCTGACAGATTTAAGAACTGAAATTACATGCTAAAATCCACATGACTGAAGATTAACCATTTGTACTCCACCAAAAGACAATACACTTGCAGAGTGCTTTAGTGGGTTAGTGAAAATGGACCTAAAAGGAATTGTTGAAATATAACTGAATGTTAGTACTCATAGCACTATAGAGCACTGGCTTTAGACAGCCAGTAGATAAACATGGGTGTTTTTTTCTATGAAGTTAATACCCTCACAATATGATGTCTGCTACTCTGCAGTTAACAATGGAAGGAATAAAATAGAAACAAGTTAAGGCAAGGGTGGTTCACCCCTATCCTTTGTTCTCCACTTCTTTCTTGTTCTCCCCAGTCCTAGAAAGCTCTGTTCTTTTTACAGTTTTCCCATCTTGGACTATTATGGGATAACCTTCTAATGAAGGATGCCTGATGAAGAAGGAGCACAACAGAACAGCACCCTCTCCAGGGAACCTCTCCAGCCAGAAGATTAAAGGGAAAAAAGGAGTTTTTCCAGTCAAGAAATTTCCTATTAATCTTTCTTCCCACTTACCCTTCCAGCCTCCTATGCCCCTCTGTCATGCTAAAGAGGAAGACTCAACCTATATTTTTTACAAATGTTCTTCTGAAACAATAAACAGAAGAGGGAAACTCCTGGTGAGATATCACCCATTTGTAACTGGTGCTAGTTTGGCACAAGTCTTCCACCCTAGCTGGTCCAAAATACAGCAAGACTGCCTCAAAAAACATGAGGAATATGCTGCTTCATCTGAAAGGAGAAAACTGTAGGTTACCACTGTCAGCCTGACCTTGCCCCTGTGTAATTTTTTCCATCCTTACTAATGTATCTTTCAGCACAAGACTGAATGGAGAAATGAGATGAGGAAAGCCACTGCACTTCTCTGCCAGTAAACAACACCAGAGTATTTATACTACGTAGGTGTTCCTGTTTCTGCACAATAAACAATTTTGTTAGTGCAAGTTAGCCTCTAAAAGAAGTTTCACTACCCAGAAAGACAACAGAAACAAATTTCAAGTCAATAAATATACCTAAATTATAGCCTCCCAGCTAAAGATATGTCATATCCTTACTCAGTGACTTCAAATGCTCCTCCAAGTGTAAGAAGATTAGCTGGTGATGAAATATGGTGATGATTTCCTCAAATTAGGAGGACATTAACAATTAAGTGTTAATGTGAACATTGTTACAGTAAGGCAATTATAACCGTATTCCATGAAGAGCAATAGGAAACAATTACTCTTATTCTCAAGTGGTAGATCTAAGAGAATGAGATTCCCAATCTTAAATTCATTAGACAGGCAGCTCTCATTTCCTAGTCTATGAGAGAATCATTCTTTCTTTATTGGAAAGGTATCTCCTATCTTTAACAAAATGTGCATACACTTTCACTTCTGTTTGGTACCAAGCAGTAAGCTAAAGACGTTTCCAGGATATCCATCTATCTCCAGGTGCAGGTGCAATATCCTCCCAGCAAACACTGCTCACCTCTCCAGGTGCCTTTAAATGCAAAGTTCACCCAGAACCAAGGAACAGTCATGCTCATTTAGCACAAGAGATTCCTCATGTGTATGCAAGTACTCTCCACCTGAAGGATCTCTGACCCAGTCTGAGGCAGGTGCAAGTGCATCACATATAACGATCTCTACTTAAAATTTGCAATACTAACGAGATGGCCCATGGTAACTTGCATGCCAATGGTTGGCTGCCAATTATCTTCACACTCTAAATCTTCCAAGAATGCAAGACTACCACAGTCCTTCCTGTGGGTTATTAAGCTTTAATAAATTACTGGGTGTGAAGCCCTGCAGCATGGGAGTGGGGCATATATGTTATTTGTGATCTTAAATAGCTAAGAAAGGCTAAGTGCATTTTTGGTTAAAAAAAAAAAAAAAAAAAAAAAAAGAAAAAGTAGAAAAAAATTGAATTGGGCATAATAGCAGCACCAATGACTCTTAACAACAAAACAGATACTGAAACCTTTCAGCTCTCAGAAGCCTGCATTCTCTTCTGGCTTTTAGATACTATCATTCCACACTCTCCATATTAAACACAGAGTTACTGGTTGGCTGTAATAATTAGGAAACTGTGCCAAAAAGATGCTAGCACAGGGAATGCGTCAGGTGACAGAACAGTGCCTCCAAGGACTCTGGGACCTGTCAGCCTCTGTAACTATATCCTCCTGCTCTGTCACAGTAGAGTTAATTAGAAACATCTGTAGTGTTGAGATCAAGCAGAGGCAGTAGGGGCAGCTTATTTGCACAAGAAAGGTACAACTCATGTGGGAGGTAAAGAGAGTAGAATCACAAACAGATACAGATCAGTTACATGAACCTGATCAGTTATCTAAGTTATATGCACAAGTTATATGCACTTCCGAAATAAGACTACCTAAGTAACGCAAATGCAAGACCGATGAAAAGCCTTAACTGTAACACTGGCAAACTGACTTACTGAAATCTTTACAGCGAGAACAGGGCTCCAATTAATGTGAAACACCATTCATCCGTTCATTCATTATGGCATAGGCTGCTCCACATATTCCTCTGAAAAGCAAACTATGTTGCCTTTACCTAACATTTTTGCTTAAGACCTCAAGCAAGTTAAAAATCCTGATTTGTTTAATCACAGTTCCTGCTGCTCCAGTTTATACCAAGCAAATCCTTTAACTGCAAATTCCCTCCTCTTCCAAAAACAAGATGCACTTTAGGAGAAGTCTTTGTTACAGGAAACTAGAATTTTTATTTCTCCTGTTCCCAAAGCACAGATCTTTCAGTCTAACCAGTATAATGCGTTACACTTTGGCAAACACTGGCGAATGTTTGCCAAATTTGGGGTTGAAAGGTTTAATATTATACGCCAAACAGAATTCAAGAAATTAAAATGGTAAAAGAAGTTTGCGGCTAGAAAAGAACTTGGCAGAGTTGCGCACATGCGCAAATACAACTCAAAGAACTTTCTTATAACTCTGTTCTCATATAACCCCATTAGAAACCAACTGCTTTTAATAAATTAGTGTGGGATAGTGGCAGAATTTCAGTCTGATCCCTACTCTTTTCAAACACAGCTTCCTGGGCATATTAAAACTTGTCAGAGAAGAGAAGCGAAGTGGAAAAAAAGAAGAATCATTTTTGTTTAATCCATAAAATACATGATTAAAGAAAAACAGGATGCAGAGTCCTCAAAGGTAGCATGAAGAATTGTATAAGCAAATCACATGATTGAAATATAAACCTGTAAACAATTTTTGGCAGGCATTTTCTGAAACACTCATTATCTGCTTAAATTTAATTTGATACATAGCTGACCCTCGGGCTCCGAGCACATACTGCCCAAGCAAACAGCTGCTGCTGTTCATGTGACTCTCATCCTAGCACACCTCAGCCGTCTCGAGCTGCCTGTTACCATGCCAGTGGTGGCATATGTAAACACTTTGTCCATGAATCAGTAGGTCCACACTTTGGGCACACCAGTCCATAAGCATAGCAAAAGCAGATTTCATTGGCTGCTGGATGAGGTAAGAAAGAGTTCCAGGGCATGGGCACCTTCTGCCACCTCCACTGATGCACAAGGGTTGGCAGCAAGGTGTGATGGCCAGCAAGATCTAAAACCATCAAAGCTATAGAAGTTAATGTAATTTGTTAGAAATACTATTTTCCCTAAGGATTTCTGTGAAAAGAAAATCACCCCCAAACTTCCAAAGGAGTAGCTGTTTGCTAACTGTAGTCCTTCTCCTCCCTCTTATATCCCAGCAGTACCACTTCAGAGTCTTCTGTTTCAAAATTTAAGAAATCCCAGATCTTCTTTAGTCCATTTGTACTTATTCATCACACTATTCTTTTTTTTCTTTCAATCCCAATTTCTTCCGCTCAACCACTTGGAGATTTGAAAAGGTCTGTTATTACCATATTGCCAAGGAAAAATTTCTAGTCATGGTACTTAAACAACTGATTATCAGATTTTTACACATATACATTTTTTAAAAAGAGCTTTTTTTTTAAATGAAAGAAAAGCTCTCAGCATTTAAGAACAACATAAGCTAGAAGTAACCACATTAGTGTTTGATAAAGCTGAAGAGCTAATAACTCGTGATGGCAAAAACTTAACCCATTTTGGCTCTACCAGTAATTCCAAGCATGAATGTTACTGAGTTCTGTAGTGCTGCCTGCAGCAATGCAAAACTGCAGAGTGCTTGAGCAGAATGAAAAGATTATGGTTTTCAGAGTTTCATTTTCATCCAAAAACTGCCATCAGCGGTTCTGTATGGGTAAAATCTTGCCAGTTTATTCAAATTTGGAATGTGTGGCCCTAAGATCCCTGGCAGGAAGTCTAGAATTTGGACACTCCTTTTATGTTCTATTTCATGTAAGATACATCCTGGAAGAAATCCAATAGCCTGTGCTGACATACAATAATCTTTATTTTTCTAGATCACTTTTGCTAATCTGAAATGTCTGCATCTGCATCATATAACATTGCAGAAATTCTTAAACCAACAAGGATATCAGTGTGCGACTTAATAAGACACTCAAACAAGACATTTGCTGATACGTAGGCTACTTAAGGCAAAGATATGCAAAAGTAGGAATGCATTTTCCAGAGGATTGTCTTTTCATTCAGTGTGGGGTTCTTTGGTATCTCAAGAAAAATCTTTTTCACACCACCAGACAGCATTGGCTGTTTCAGCTGCCTTCAAAAGCAAGAGTCTGTGCAATTACAAAAAAAAGAAAAAAAAAAAAAAAGAAACATTGCTAATGTGTTTCTTCTTTAGCAGTCATTAGAAAACAGGTATTCATAACATTTTCAAAACATGGAGGTACAGGATACATTCCTGACCAGAAGAAGAATTAAAAATTGGTCGCTTTTTCAATTACACAGATTTCTAATTACAAAAAAAATTATGTAGATGCAGCCATGCCACTTAAAACTTTCCAGACACATACTCTGTGTCAAGTTACAGCTGTGTCCACAAAGTGCAGGTTGAGGTCCCCATGGCTTCTTAACTCAGTTTAACAAGCCATCAATTAAAGGCAGATACTTAGAAGAAGAAAAACTGATTGGTTGCAGAGGGATTTCTGGACACTTTAATTGATACCCACTGAAAATACATGAGAAGGATTTCAAACTCAGAAAAAAAATGACTGCCAAAAGGCCTGACAGATATATAATGCCATGATAGAAATAGCACACATTATGTCGTACTTAATACCCCACTTGTGCCACATTACACAGTTGGTTTTTCTTATATTGCAGTGCCAAACACAGTCCCTTCTCTCTTTTCTCTTCCCCAATCTAAATGAACAAGCAACAGAATTAATCTAGCAGTTTTGTGGACACCACCTTAATGCAGAACACAAGTTTTACCTTGAACTGAAGTCACAAAGGTGAGGTAACTAATCTTGAGTGTGAACAAAATTTTCAGTTGCTTTCCCAAACTCATTAAGAAAGGTCCCGATTCCCATAGGTTTACCCAGAATAATTAGCAACAACAAACACGGGTAGGATTTCAGTGTGCTGGTCAGCCTATGGGATTAGTCACAAAGGTTTTGTAAATTTCAGAAGGTATCTAAACAGATGGGGGGGGGGCAAAAAAAAAAATACTGTAATGGATGCAGTCAGAACCATTAAGTAGTTTAGAATTTCTAAGACTCCCACAACTAATAAATTTTATGGGAAAAATCACGAAAGTCAGATGGTAAAAAAATACGTAGCATAAAAGTTGCAAACTTCTAGACAGCTTGTAAAACAGTGGTAGTGCAAGAGGGAAATGGTAAACACACTAGCAAGAGTTCATCGGTCTTAATAAATAGAACAGGGTCACACGGGTTTACTTTTGGAACCCATAAAGGTCCCTAAGTATCTAATTATTTCCGAAAAAAAGTCTTGAGGTTTTATTCTATTTCTCAATAGATTAGCTTATTCTTTGTCAGATACCATTTTAAACTGAAATATACCCCTTTAAAGAAGCTAATATTTGTTTCTTATTGTCCCTGCCCATGGCAGGGGGGTTGGAACTAGATGATCTTAAAGTTGTTTCCAGCCCTAATTATTCTATGATTCTACTATAGAATACTAGCTACCATATGTTCTTCCAAGGGAGTATTACTAAGCAATATTAAACAGTATATCCTAATGGAAATAATACAAAGAAGTATTTCTTAGGAGAAGTATGTAACAAAATCAGTCATGGCACCAGGCTGCATAGTAGGTCCAGATTTGGAAGAAAATGTCGGATTAAGACCTAGACTTTCACTTCTAAATTTCTACTTTACTGCAGACTACAAAAAAAGTCTTTTCTATCACCTTGCCAGGGGGAAGACTGGGCTATGTTGTCACCTTTACAAGAATGCAGTCATCCTCCTCACTAGGCAGATTTTTAATTTGCTGGGCCTGACATAAAAGTGACAAGTGCTGCTTGTTCATGTGTTTGCGAACAATGACTTTACAGCTTTGCTCAGGTTGGTAACTTCAGAAATCATAAGTAACAATTGCTACCTTTCTGACCAACAGAAACAAACAATGAATAAAGCATTTGTAACTGCAGGGTACAAATGTAAGCAAACATATTGTAATGGGTAATAAAAATAGCACTTTGCTCTGATTGTGGTGCTAATTAGAATCTGATTTGCCTATTTAAAAGCTGTAACCCATGCTACCAAGTCTCCCAGACTAGTTTCACTTTTTAGGCTTAATTACTGACCTCAACAGCTACAAAATGAAAGAGAAGTGGAAGTAACAGGTCTGTAAATGTACCCCTTTCTTCCAGTACTTTGATCAAATGATTTCTGTTCAAGTGAGATGATTTCTTCCTAAAGATGTCACTGCAGAACTGGTTTGGTACCCCTGCTGCCAAAGAGGGCATTACCAGGCAGCTTTAAAAAGTAGGACATGACACAGTCATTGATTTTGAGAGTGTCTTTCCCTTCTCCCCTTCTTACACTGGTTCTTATTTTTCATCTTCAAAACCATTGTTTTGTTTGTTGAGCTACAAACCTATATTCCATAGTACCATACTTAAGAAATTCAACCTCAAACACAGCCAATGATTACCACATAAGACATAACATTTGCAAAAAGATTTGTATTCATTAAAAACAAAACAAGCTAGGAAGACAGACTTCTTTTCATAAGTAATAGCATAAGTATCAACAACTCCCAAGTTCTGCACTGGTTATGTACAACAGAATGTCACGTGTGTCCCATAGAACACAAAAATCATTATGAAACCGAGGGGGAAAAATCAAATCTCCTCTCCTCACCTCCAGAAAGCAACTGATGAAGCTTCATCTAAATGATGTATCCACCATGTCCCTATTACGTTATCTCCTCAACTATATATTCAGGGCCCCTCATGTATTACTGAAACCCCCTTGGGCTATTGTCTAAATTGAAATGTTCACTACCCTCAGTATTTCAGTACTATTAAAAATACAACCTGGAGTCACAATGGGATTTCTCCCTCCTCATTTTCTCTAAGCAAAACTATTCATATATTTGTGCAGGCACACATACTCCCACCAAGCACTACTTTCTGAAGTTCTCATCTAATATGAAAAGTCATATCTCACATACTGTTATATATATACTTAAAAAAAAAAAAAAGGACAAAAAAGAGGAATCTGTATTGCTAAATTTATGTAGAGTGGAAAATCCTGGGTATTCTGTTCAGTATCAAGAAATAGGAGTGTCTTCTTACAAACATGACAATACTGGACACATAAAACCTTTAGGTGTGGTGCAGAACAAAAAGAATAACTAATTAATTTATCAAGTTATATTTATCAAACTATAATGAACAATAATTACATTTATTAAAGCTACTGACTTCCTGAAGGAAAGCCATATATCAGCACATAAACAAATGTGTGTTCTAGAAAGTATCTGGAACATTTGCATGATTTGGCTTGTTACCCAATTCGTATGTCAACTGACAGAGAAAGACAAAAATCCAGAGTTGACAAAACACTTCCCATGCCTGACACGTCTCATTCACCATCCAGCCAACCCCCCCCACAATACACACCAGTCAAAGCCCAGGCAGTGTCCCTCTTCACTTGCCTCCCCCTCCCCCAAACACCCTTATGCTGGGTGAGCTAATTAGCAACTTGTCAACTCGCTTGTGCATAGCTTAGCATGGAGCTGGGCACAGGGCAAAACCAGGAATCCCTTTGGGCCTCATCACAACATAATTCGGGCAGTGTAGCCTGTGATAGCATAAAATGAAGCTAGTTATTTACACACATTTATTAGAAGGGGGCCCTCTCGTATTGGGCTTAAGATGACAAAATGTCAGCTTCAATCATCTGACAGGCTTTGGTCTCCCTCTGTAACCTCTTTCGTTTTGGCTGCTCTTTTTTTATATACACATATGACACTAACAGAAAAATAAATTGAAAAGAGCACTGAGGCAGAGTGTATTTCACGCACTGGTGCCAATGTTTCATATCTCATGAACCTCGGGAAAACAATTCGTCTAACTAATTAGTTTATAGTGTTTAAGCAGCTTGTTTCCCATCTTTAAACTTCTTTATGTAACACTGTGAACAAAGCCATATTATCTTCTGATTTTTTTCTTATACAATTTAACAAATATGATCTTCTTTTTTTTTTTTTTCCTGGAGATTATTTCATTTAGACATCAAGCTACCCTATCCACCTTTACTTTTTTTTCTTCTTGGGCAGAACAGTATAAACAGCACCAATCCATTTGTTTTTCAAAGATCTTCAAGATTATGCTATACTTTTTTCTTTTTTTTTTTTTATTTCATCCAATTTATTTAATTTCTCATTTCTAGCTCTCTCTCAGAAAGGAACTCTGCCTTCACTGAAAATAAAATGACTGTCGTGGGTCCTAGTAATAGAAGAGTGCTCCTAGCTTGCAATCTTAGCTCAACTTGTTTAGAGCAAAAAGTACTGGAAAAGCTAATAACTAGTCAAAAATAAACCAAGCAAACCTTTAAATCTGAAACAGGTTCATCTTTTCACTTTCACCACCAGTGACTAGCTTGAGTTAAAAGAAAACATAAATATAGAAACAAATAACCCCTATTCAGGAGCTTGGAAGCATTTTTCCTCTTTATACAGGACATGCTCCAGGTCCCTTATCATCCTTGTGGCCTCCTCTGGACTTGTTCAAACAGCTTCATGTCCTTCTTATGTCGAGGGCACCAGAACTGCACACAGTACTGCAAGTTAGGTCTCGTGAGAAGGGAACTGAGGAGCAGGATCACCTCCTTCGACCACACTTCTTTTGATCTAATGTTGAAGGTGGGTTAAGTAAACCCATACTGAAAGATTAGATTTTCTCAGAGAGCTAGCTAGATTTTCAAGTCAAAACATACCCTCAAGGAGAGCTGGGGACAGCAGCTTTTTAGTGACTCCTACCAGGGTCACAGGAGGATTGTCTGCTATGCCCAACACGTACAGCCAGGATTGCACTTTTTGGAACACAGTGTCACAATCACTTTCTTCTTAAAGTATAGAAGGGGAAATTGTGGTACATGTCTTTTATTCAGTAAGTTAGCAGCATTTTCTACCAGTAATATACATATTACTGGTATAATTCCTGACTTTGGTATTATATCTGGTTGTATACAAAGGCTGGTTAATGTAAAATACTCAAATCATCCTGGAAACAGGACACCAATACTCCAGCCACAAGGTGTGAGAGAAAAAAATACAGTGTATTTTTTAACAGCTTTTATCTCCAAGCAAAATGTCAGACATCTCGCTGTTTAGTTGGTAAAAGCCTAAACCTTTTCCTTGATATTGCTCTCTCACAAGGAGGTATATTCATAGATGTGAATAGTGACCAAGTCTTCTATTGGGACGTTCATTTCAAGCAGATTGTTGAAGTCCATGCAGTCAACATTCTTTTCCTTTCTGATTCTTTGCTTGCTTTAGAAGTGCTTGCTGTTTGCCCCTCCTTCATTCCCCCCTGGATTATTCACATTAAAGTTCATGTTAGATGTCTGATTCCCAGTAATTCTTAATTAGTACAGAGCAGTGACACTGTTGTGGCTTCACAAGCGCATGAACAACAGTGAGAGCTCCAGCCGGTTGTGCCCAAGGGACTTCTCCCTTCTCCCCGAAGGTTAATGCCTGTACCTCCTCTGGGAGCTAGCAGCTACACAGGCTGCTTAACTGAAGATACCCGAAATCTCCCAGCTACTGGGGGATTTAGCAGTGACTGCAGACTGCCTGAATCATTTCTGAATGCCTGAACGGTTAAAGGAGCAAACTTTATAAATGAGTGAAAAGCGTGAAAAATATTAATGCTATGTTAACTTCCATTAACCTTCAATGTACACTCCAAACCGTTGGATTAAAACTTTACAGGTTGAAGTTTTGCTTAAAAAAATTCTCTTTAAGAACACATGCAATCCCAAAACTGTGTAACATTAAATATATGCAGGCTTTTAAATTCAACGCAGACTGGTACCAGTAAACAGGCTTGGATGAATGAAAGATGAAAAATGACAAAGCTGCATAAATACATAATTCTTTAACCCTATATTCACAGAAAGACTTCATAAGCTTCTTAATTTCTTTTCTCATTTTATGGTTTAGTTTTGGACTAATTTAATGAGGATTGGAGAGGGATGAACAATGTCTGATTGTTCCTCCTTCTTTTCTTACATTTAAATCAAAAAGCATGTATTTTTTCAACTTACATCTAATACTTAGTATTTGAAGTAATGCACAATATATAAAGAATATATTACTCTTAATTTAATCCATCAATGTATCCCAACATCCTCTAGAAAGTTTTAGCTGTTAGTTCACAAGGGAAAAGTTTTCTTCCTAGAAATCAACACTGCTTATGACTCATGAGAGCTGATGGAACAGGCACAGTTTTGATGTTTGCAATACTTCTTAAGAGAATTAACTGCATCAGCTAAGATAGGATAAGACCAGTTTGGCAAGTAATTTTTTGCTGGTCAGCAGGAAAACTCATTCTGCAAAAGAAAACCCAAGTCTCCATAGGCTCATCTTCACAGATGAGTCTTTTACCATGCTTTGTTTCTGATTTTTCCTGAACCTGACACTGTGATTGATACAACATTATAAGGTATCATATTAAAAGTATTAAAGTGAATGAAATATTCTTATATAATATCTCATGCTTTGTTTTATTTCCATCTTCATTCTGACACATTCTTGATTTTTTTTTAAATTTAAGAGTAAATAGCTACATGATCTACTGTGGCTAGAAAACATCTTTGCATATCTAGAAAAGCTCACATATTCTTCTCTCTCTCCAGTTAATGTCTACAAACAAACTTCTCATTAAATGGTCATATGACAGAAATCCATCAAACACTGTTTCCACTAGATGCAATTCCTCAAGCTACTAGCTCTCTGACAAAACAAAAATACTATTCAACCAGTATCTGGCTCAATTCCATTTTTTTAAATCTTTAGCTAAAATCTGGTTAGATTCCATGTGTGTGATGTCCCACTGTCCCACTAACTTTTCTTAGAGGTTTTTTTCTACCTTCTGTTTTGGTTTGTTTTTACAAAGCTCAAATTGTGCTTTTTACCTGATGATTCTGACTACACATCCTATCATAGTCTAAATCATGGTGCATGAACTACATCGGGAACTCTCCCAGGACAGCATCAGGCACTGCCAACACCTCCTCACTTGACTGACAAGACTTCAAGACTGACTCTAGTAAGAATTGTTAACAGAGACCTTAACATACAGGTTAAGCCCAGAAAGTATATTCCAAAGAGAGCTGTTATCATAAAAGATGTATTCACCCACAGCTATTGTACCTACTCTTATCCAGTGCACAGTGTTAGGAAATACAACATAAACTGAGTGATGTAGAGCACAATTACCAATAAGAAGGATTTCAGCCTTGATTACCCTTGCAGGAAAAAAAACAAACGAACAAACACAACATCTTTTTTCCCCCTAAGAAATCCTTTGCACACCACTGGCTTACAAAGGTTGTGTTATAGATGCTGTTTCCCAAAGGAATTCTCACTCTCTCTTCACACTCAAACACACACACACCTCTGCCTGAGAGGGCAAATGCTACAAGCTCTGCTTGCCTTTAGTTGGAGAAAATCTCTCCCCAGCTCTGCAGGACTGGTGCACTCTGCACATCAGCAGGAGAGGCTCCTGCCAAAAAATTCAGTTCCCAGTGGTTTCTTACACAACTCAAGCTGAATGCACATACCAGTAAATCTCTAGTCACTAGTGCTACAGGCAACTAAAGGCAGCTCCTCAGGTACCTTATCAAAAAAGGTAATTGAGAAATAATTAAGAAGGGCTGCAAGGAACTGCTACTCGTCCTGCTGCAGTTTTATCACAAACCAGCACCACTGGGGTTTGCACTCTGTGTTTACAGGCATCATATTATTAATTACTAACCAAGCTGGTTCACAAGTATTGGTCAAAGGCACTTGTTGAGCACTAAGAAAAATCTTACACTCCTAACAGTCTTTAGCTTATTGCAGTTTTGCCTACAAGAAAAATAAGATGTCACACGCTTTCCCTAAAGGATTATGAAAGTAAAAGTGTTGTGAAATGTTTTATAATAAATTTATTTCATTTGAACACTCAACTTATACTTCCTGTCTTCTGGTGCTTGTTATCTACCTCTACAGCCTCATTTCAGCTTTTCACTTCATATTTGAAAACAGTATACTTTTTACCAGTAGAAGAACAGTACTTCTAAAATAAGGCTAGCTTCTCAAACCAGTATTTTCATTTTTAAATATATTATAAAATCAATACCACCTTCATATTAAGTAACACACCATCTTTTCTTTTCCATAAAGTCCCTCTGTTGAAAACCATTACTGTAAAGAAAATGTCCAGGTCTTTATTCAGATGTGTACAAGCTCTCTTCAAAGATAAGAGCCCAAGAGATAATAAATTAGACTGAATTTGCTGCTGTGAATTGTGTTTCTGGCTGAGCTAATGCTCTGAGATTTTTCAAACTATTCCAAATAACTGATGGCTGCTACTCTTCTTACCCTGGTAAAAAAGAAAACTTAGGTCGTAACACCAGTGGTGGCTTATGTAGGATGCAATGCATGGACCTGATTGCTTTCACTAGCTCATGCAGTAATTACTGTAGCTAAATAGATAGTGTAGGTTTCAGGAGTAAAGGTATTATAAGCTAAAAAATGTTAAGAGACATAAAGAAGATTTATCCAAAAAACCCACTGAATAATTACATGTCAAACACCCAAACATTTGTATAAATGTAAGAACAGCCTTAAAAATATTTAAAAACTATATGATGGCAACAGAAAATAAATAGTAATTTTCTTTACTTGAAATGTTTGATGGCATTAATCTAATGAGCCTAGTATAACAACAATACGGCATAATGACTTATTTTGCCAGTCACAATGTAGGATGTAGGATAGCTGATATCTGTGGCTCTGGTTAATAACAACAATGCCAAGAAACAGCATTTTTACCTTAAAAACCTCTGAGAAAGAACTCATAATAATTCTAGATGTAGATATGGATGCACTTTTACTGTTGTACTAAACTCACTCTTTTTTATCATAAAAAAAAAGTAAAATACATTTTGTGAATCAAAGTAGGAGACTGAACTTGTTTATGACAGCAGGCACCCTGTGAGATGCTAATTCACTGTAGAAGTATTTTATAAAAAAATTCTGAAGTATTAATTCTGCAGATTTATATATAGACTGTATCAACTAAAGACTTCCCTCTAGTTTTAAACCTTCTTGTTTGAGAACATTTAAAAAACAATAAAAAAATCATCAGTACATGAACATGCTCTTCTTCCCTTGCTATTACAGATCCTTTTGATTTAATTGAGTATTCTAATCTTTCACTTTATGTCACAGTATGAATTGGAAGGATTCATCTTGACTCCAATATTCTGTCTTTTTCTCAGTATTTCATACGATTGGATCTGAACCATATCTCATACATATGATTGATATACAACTGACAAAGAATTTTGTATTTTGAAAGTACCCAATAAGCATGTTCTGCTTAGATCAAGTTAGAACACTCACAACCCAATTTAATTTCCAAGTTACCTTGGGAATTACCTGGACTGTCTCACTCAAAGGTATTCTAATGGTACATAAAAACATATTTTGGCTTAGTATATGATTCAGCTTTGAGGTAGATTTGAAAAAAAATAATCCTATTTTCTCTTTTTATACGTGTTTCAATGTCTTATAGATAAAACCTGAGCAGCATGCATACTGAACAGGTATTTCTTGTAGAAGGCGGTCCCTTATCCAAAGAAAAGACATTATCCATATATCTTAGCCATCATCAGTAGCAGAAAATTGAACGAAATGTATGAACGAAAATTTAGCCATAGAAACACTTGTGCATCAATATTGTCAAGGCAGAGGTGCTTTTGACAGCAGAAACTGCCTGTGAAATAAATTTTAAAAAACTTTGTTACCTTTGATAAATGACAGTAAAGAATTCAGCTCTTCTCTGGTCCTGCCTCTGTTTCCAAAACTGGGGGTGAAAAGGGCCAGCTGGCTGGCTTACACTTCGGAATCTGTATTGCCTTTCTATTACCTAACTACTCCAACAACCCTGCAAAAAAAAAATAAGTCTCAGCTCTCCAATAGATGTACTAACTTCTCTATGTGGTAAATCAATAAATTACCTAACTGCTTGTTAATTACATCCTTCCACCACTCATCATCCCAAGTATCCCTACACTATCACAAGCATCATCTCATCGTATGAAAAAGGAAGATTACATTATCGCTATAATCATTATTTTCCAACAACAGCAACAAAAAAAAGCTAGGTAAGTACTCTTATTTGAAGCTATCAGTGTGCAAAGAATCATAATTAATCTTTATGTAGAATTGCAATTTCTCCTCAACTACTTAAGTATCATCATAATTGCAGGTCCAAAACACGAACCTCTTGGGTTTGCTTAATGATTCTCTCATCTGCTCTTCTCCCAAGACAAGGCTCTCCTCTGAGAGCAGAGTTGTGAACAAAATTAATACAAATGAGAGAAAAAGCAGGGCAGGTCCTCATGTTCTGCCCTGAGCAGGAAAAGGGGTTAACCTTAAGTAGCTGTTCACTGGACTTCTAGAAATTAAGATAACCACAGTGACATGAAGCAAAGAAAGGATACGACCAGGGACCAAGGAAAGGCAAACCCACTTCAATCTAAATTGCCTTCATTTGCATTTTGTGTATTTAATGTGGACAGAATAGTTCAGAGTTTTTCTTTTAAAGCTTTACAGTAAAATGAGCTGTTAAATGCCCAAAATCTCTCTGTCCCTGCCTTTTCTTCTCCTTGAAGATCAAATTTTATCTACAGATTTCTTAAGTGAATAACGGATAACAAAAATTAAAGGGATCAGTATCAGAATGTGTTAAGTAACTGAACCCCAGCTCCCACTCTTCTTTTTTTTTTACTATGATTCCTCTCTGTTAAACAATCAATTACAGCTGAGACTGGAAATCACACCTGTACAAAAGAAGTAATAATAATAATTAAAAATTATAACAAGAAACCCCAAAAAGAAACAAACATCCCAAACAAACAAAACCAACAACCCAAACACCTCCCCAGAAAACCCACATCACATTTCCAAGGATTTGAAATCTCTGATTTCAATCACAGCTTCATTCGTACTCATACAAAGTAGTTCCTTCAAAACCTCAAATTTGCTTTGCACCAACTCAGAGGTAAGCACCTAAAGACAACCTCTAAAAACGCATCTCTCTGGCAAGGCAGCCTAATGCTATAGGAGTTACTTACCCAGAAAGATTATTACAACCACATTTATCTTTCTGAGGAAATAAAATCATACTACTACATCAGAATAATCATAGAACTATGGCTGCATCACAAGAAATTCCTGTACTAAGAAATTCAGAATAGAGATGCATGAATATTTGGGGGTTTCCTATCCTGGTATGGCTCACGTTGCTCCCAGAACAACATGAACTAAAACAGCAATGAAATTAATCTGGTTTATTCTGTCGTAAAAATTCGCACTGGTGAGCCAAAACCCCATAGTCTCTCTCATTGCTGAGACAACAGAATGGAATCTGTGAGTGCATACTCCTCCAAAGTCAGCTAAGTTTTCCTGAGTAGGCTAAATTCAGGGGGTTCATATCAGCAAAACACCTTGCACAAACAAATTCTAGCAATGTCAATTGATATTTTTTCTAAATCTTGAATGTCAAATTGATACGCATTCTAAATAAGGGGGGTGGGTGGGGGGGGTGGGTGTTATCCCACCACTACTCTGAATCTTCCAGAACGCTTATTTTGTTAAAATTACCTATCAGCTGTTTAAAAGCCTAAAAAAAACCAAACAAAAAAAACCAACCAACCAAAAAATAAAACCACACCAAAACCAAATCAAACCAAACAAACAAAAAAAAAAAATCCACCCATAAAACGGTCCAAATAGAAAACCGTTAATATTTAGCAGGATATACTACTTATTTTAGGTATGGGGAGTCTTAAGCAACTCAAAGTATGTTTCTATAACAACAAAGATTTTTCCACAGTTAAAAACCAGAGCTCCAGAAAACTACTCCATAATCTTTAGATAAAATTCTCACTAAATTTCTCAATAAAAGAATTGGTTACATTTTATCTATC